TCGTTTCGATTACATGCGAATGCAACCAACGCAGATGTGCGAACGAGCTTTTAGTGTACACACTGTCAAATCCGCTGGTGCGAGCGTGGGGTTTGATCCCGCAGATTATTTGCACGCATTCTCGCACGAACGAAACCATACATGATGCCATAGCGCTCACACCTCGAACTTCGCGCCCAGTTGAGGCGAACCGACTGTTCAGCCAGGACGTTCACTGCAACGTTACTGTAGCAAGCTTGCTCCAGTAACGTTGGTTCAGTGCTTGTCGTACAATGTTGCCAAGCGTCTCTTGCGAAAGAGATGGATATATCTTAAGGTATACAGGAATAATAAAAAAAAAAGTCAGAACGAACTTTTATAGTCTTTGCAGATTTTTTTAGCACGTGCTACGTGGCTATTTTTATCCCAGTTGAAACCAAAAGGAAAAATAAACGTTTCCAAAGATTGAGAGTGGGAGGGACTTTGGGAGCACTACCCACTTTGTTGGTCGTGGTCGGGAGCTGCAGACCATCGCATCAACAATGGCTGCGCTCGCGGCAGCGCTGGCTTCTACGACGTGTTCGAATAGAGGCTGCGATCGTTATAACATCGGTTTGACCCTGAAACATGCTCCATCCTACAGTATTTTATGCCACGATTGGGTGTGGATACCTCACCCCGCGTCTCAAAACAGTAAGCAGGTCGCTAACGTGCGCTAATGTTGGCCATCGGTGATGCCACAGACGCCGCCATGGCATGTCCCTCGCTCATCTCAACATGGTGGAAACGTTACGCGGCGCCAGCATCGCTCACAATGGCAGCGCCCATGAGCCTTTCTTAACAACGTGTTCACTAAGTATGGAATGAAGTATTGTGTGGGTAAAGGGATTATAAAAAAAAATATCTTACATTATTCTCGATATGAAATTTCTATAGGACTGATGTGAGACACGACATTACAAAATTTTAATATTTTATTTTCATAAAAACCTATATTTGCCTTAAACTTACATTATTATACTTAGTGCCACTCAGGGATGGGCAAAATACATGCAAATATGTATTGAAATACAAATACAAAATACTTCGTAAAAAATGTATTTACTTACAAATCTAAGTACATTTCCAAAAAAGCATTTAAGTACAAGGTACAAATACAACCAAATGTATTTGGTCTCCTCCAAATACTTTTCAAAATACATTCCTCAAAATTTGTGTCAGCGACTTCAGGGCACCTGCAACGGGTTTCTGGGTATCTTATTTTAATTTTGCATCGCACACTTGGGAGTTAGTGTGCGAAGCTCTAGTGACGTAATAGAAATATAATCACACAAAAAAATGCAATGAGGTTGGACGTAATAAGTGAAAAAAGTACAGAGCTTCAAGCAGCCTTTTTGTCGATTACATTTTGTATACATAGACCAACAAAGAACCGAGACGACCAAGACGCGCAGCACTAGCTAGATAATTTTTTTATTGTTGCAACTCGCAATAGTTACGAAAATGTGGACGACCGGCACATTTAGAATGTTCCAGGCAAAAATGTGGATAGAAATCAGGCTGGAAAGCATCACAAGTTGTCACTGGCACTTATTTAGCCAGTCTGCCAGTGAACGTCGATTTCGTCACTATTCTTGCCTTGGACTAGCACCGTAATCACCAACTCACTAAACGCTTGTGCTTGATTGAGAGACACTGCATTCGGTGCAGAACATAGTTTTCTTCCTGCTCTGGAGAGTGACAATAAATTTGAGGGATGTATTTTCGCCCACAAAATTGTATTTAATTACAATTGTATTTGAAATACCCACGTTTTAGTATCTAAATACACACAACAAATACATAACCCAATTTGTAATTAAATACAAATGCAAAATACACAAAGTGTTTGAAATACGTATTTCAAATACTTGTATTTGAAATATTGCCCATCCCTGGTGCCACTAATGAAGGTACAGAGCGCGACACTGATAGCGCGAACAAGTAATCGCCGGTTTTTTCAGTTTTTGTCTTTGAAACCAAGGGATGTCATCTAAGTTATTATTGCCTATGGAAAGAGCTCATTTAGTTCTACAATGGAAGCAATAAAATTTCGTGCTCGCTAATACTATTTAGAGTAGAATGAAAAAACAAAGCGCCAATGTCGTGTTCGCGTCAACAGTGGCGCGATGTGTACACTTCAGAGTAACGACACTAGACGATATTGTGTCTTAAAATCATGGTTGCCAGTTATTTGAAGCTTGATCTGAGATCACAGGAAACGCTTTTCCGCCCTTCACAAATGTTCGAACAATTCGCGACAGAGCAAAGCAATGTTACATGAGCTTTCTGACACCGAATCGAATGCTGAGGAAGTCGCACTTTTAAATCATGACGATCGGCAGTTGCGTCTGCTCTGCACGAGCACCAAATTGGTGGCGCCCACAAAAATGTCGGGGTACGGAGTGACAATACTCTAAAGGGGTATCCACACGAAGGAGAAATCCACTCCTTTCCTCCGGGGAGCGCGCATCACGTGAGACATACGTCATCCCTTTTTGACGCCCCGTGACGCCGTTCTCTCGTTCTCCTCCGTGGCGGAGGCGCGGAGACTTCGTACTCTTGGCATGAGAACTCCGCAAGTGCGCGCGGCGGAGCCGGGGACGGAGTTTCCCGGGTTGTTGACGTCACGAGATCCGTCCGCGGAGTTCTCCTTCGTGTGGATACCCCTTAAGCGCAGCTCATTTAGTGGCTCTAATTATACCCGAGTTAGACGGGCACGTTTAAGGGGTATCCACACGAAGGAGAACTCCGCGGACGGATGTCGTGACGTCAACAACCCGGGAAACTCCGTCCCCGGCTCCGCCGCGTGCACCTGCGGAGCTTTCGTGCTGACAGCACGAAGCCTCCGCGCCTCCGCCACGGAGGAGAACGAGAGAACGGCGCCACGAGGCGTCAAAAAGGGGTGACGTATGTCTCACGTGATGCGCGCTCCGCGGAGGAAAGGAGCGGATTTGGATGTCGTGACGTCAACATCCCGGGAAACTCCGTCCCCGGCTCCGCCGCGTGCACCTGCGGAGCTTTCGTGCTGACAGCACGAAGCCTCCGCGCCTCCGCCACGGAGGAGAACGAGAGAACGGCGCCACGAGGCGTCAAAAAGGGGTGACGTATGTCTCACGTGATGCGCGCTCCGCGGAGGAAAGGAGCGGATTTGGATGTCGTGACGTCAACATCCCGGGAAACTCCGTCCCCGGCTCCGCCGCGTGCACTTGCGGAGCATTCGTGCTGTCGGCACAAAGGCTCCGCGCCTCCGCCACGGAGGAGAACGCGCCGCGAGGCGTCAAAAAGGGATGACGTATGTCTCACGTGATGCGCGATCCGCCGAGGAAAGTGGCGGATTTCTCCTTCGTGATCGCGATTTTCGTCCGCGGACCGTGTACCACGTGACCGGCACGTCACCGATTCCTGCGATCCGCGCCTCCTCCGCGGAGGCGCGGACTGATAAAGTCGAGCGCCTTTTTCACTCGCGGACGTTTGGCGGCAGACTGACTTGGAAAGCATTTAATCTGGCAACGGTACATGGTTTTCTTGGTATTTTGCTTCTGTGCGTTCAAAACAAAAATGGCGCGTCGTTGCGTTTTTTGCGTTTGTTGGTTCATTTTGTCGTACGATTCTTGGTTCTACGCGTGAGAGAAACTCCAGAAACTTTGTCCGGCTGACGCGACGCAGGTTCCGGTGCTCCTCCGGGTCCGTGTCAAGAAGCTCCCGTCAAAACTCGTCTAGCACGCCGCGATAATTCTTGCACGTCCAATCAGGATTTCACCGAGCAAGCCCTCTCTTGTGGATGTGGTGTGCTTGAGTGTTGTGCACGAGCGCGGAGTGCGTGAAGGCATCTCCAAACGCCCCTCCGCGAGCCCAGAACTTCGTCGCGTCTACGCCGAAGCTTTCTCGGGCAGGATCATGCCTGTGTCACTGTCGTGCTTTGGGTTAGTAAAGTTAGTGGCGCTTCGCGCGAAGCCTGTCCCGGTGTTTTGTTCTCGATGAGTACGTAGCAGCGGCGCACGATTCTTTATCGCGGTAGCAACCGTCGATTTCTCTCTTGGACAACGGTGCTACGGTGCGATGTTGAAGTTTCGCGGCACTGTGGGGTGCGAACAGGTTCGGTCCGTCCTCACTGGCGTCTGCTCGTCGTCTCCCTCGCGTGGATGCGCTTGGGAGACGGACGAACCGCGGATATGTCGTCACGTGATCAATCCGTCTGCGGATCAGACCGTCGTGTGAATCGGCCTTTAGGGGTATTCACACGAGGGATAAATCCCGGGGATTTCTAACCAGCGCGCGCGCATCACGAAATCAAAACGCGAGGCTTTTGAACATCGCAAAGTCTGACGTTTTCGTCGCGGAATGCGCGTGCCGGGGAGAAATCCCCGGGATTTCTCCCTCGTGTTAATACCCCTTAACCGGAGTTGCTGTGAACCACAGCTTTCACACTATGTTCGTGAGCAACGTCCTGTGACTATGCAGTCAAAGCTATGGCGCACTGCGATTGTGCATCTTGTGCACGCGTCAAAGCTTTACACGCACACTCTTGAGTCTTCACTTCTTCTGAAATAGATTTTTGAGACTATAGTGCTATAACTGCAGTGAAGCGTAACTGGAGCAAAGGGTGATTTAACTGCGGTTAATTAAGGCATAGGAGTGTTGTAAAATAAAGTAAATTTAGTCTTAACCATATAGGTGCTTTATTTGAACTTCTCCCAGCATTTGCTTTATGCACACCCGATGTTGAATGTTGCAGCCAGTGATAAATGTAAAATAAAAATACCGCAGTCACCTGCGTCCGTCACTATCACTAAACGGTGGGAAACGCCAGCTAAACTGTTTATGTACACCAGAAAAACACAGTTCGAACTGGCTGTCAATGCACTCTTTGTCAAACCTTTGTCGCCTGCCAATATACGGTTAATCAACGGTAGAATAATCAGTCTCGCTCAGCTTCTTTGTACCTCTTGTATGCTGGAAGTAGGCAAGGGCATGCAGCCTCACGCATTCCCTAAACGTTTTTGACGCTCCCAGACTCGAACCAGGCGAGCACTGTCATCGAATCCATGAGCGGCCACAAGCCCGACAAAGTCTTCGGGAAATTCGGGCTCGTTCTTGTCACGAAACTTGTCACTGTGCAGCGGCCGCAGCCCGATCTTTCTTGACACAATTCCCAAAAACACGTCGTCCAAACGAAACTGCCGCGTGTACCTGGCCATCTGGTAGAGCTCAATGATCGCAGGCCTCGACACTAGGTACAAGCAGCCGACCGGAAACGGCGGGTACTGGCTGAAGGGGTATTCGGACAAGGACACGTACCACTTGCTCAAGCGGGACCTGTAAGGCGGCGCCTCGTCGTAGACATATCCCACCAGGTACCGGTCTGTCGGGTTCATCGAGTCTCGGAGGAAATGGACGAGATTCTTCGCGGACACGTAACAGTCGTCGTCGACGAAAAAGATCCACTGGGCGCCGGGACAGTGTTCCAGCACCCAACGGAAGGAGAGCATTGTCTTGATGGTGTTGTTGTAATACGTGTCGATGAAGTCCGCTTGTACCAGGTCACCGTGGAGGGCATGTTCTGCGTTCAAAGCGCTCTGCGCGGTTTCATCGTCGGCTTTTACACCAACCATAAACACACGCCGGATGCTCACGTCTTCGAAGAGGCCCTCTTGTCCCCAGGTCTGGCGGATGGCGTTTCGATGTGCCTGGTGGGCTATGGCAGACTTAACGACAATCAGTAGGAACGGCAGGTCTCTCGGAACTTGACATTTGAATTCGTTGCGGATCATGAAGACGTATTGCTCGTAACGGTTCATAACGCGGTAAACCGGTTCATTGCCAGATTTGAGTAACCGCAAAACGTGCTTGACATCGACTTCTGGAGGATACGCGTAGTCCGAGTAGGGAGTCTCCTGCAGGCGATCGAAGAGGCCCGATATGTTCAGGAGTGCCAGGAGGAAAGTTGTGAGCCATAATAATACGACCTGTCGGCGGTGGCGGGTCTTCCAATAGGTCATATAGAGCCTTTAGGTCAAATATCCCGCTGTTACCCTGGAAGTAGGGAAAGAATGAAACAGAATCAACATCTCAATGAGTGACGTGAGGTTTATTCGCATAAATTGCGGGGCTTACTTCGAGGTACAAATGCCGGACACCGGGACATGCCATACATTGAGGAAGTTTACACTCTTCAGCGAATAAACTTTTTAGTGTGCATTATTCATATTTTGCGTTCCCCGTGGAAAAAAGCACTTCACTGAAATTGGAACAGGGGCTTAGAGAGGGGAGGGAGATCTGACAAAAATCCTCTCCTTTCTTTTCCCAAATCATTTTGATAGCCCTGAACCAATTCAAAAAAGTATCTTGGCATACGCAGCATAGGAAGCACTGCAGAGTATTATGTCGTATGTTGGCGTCAAGTAGTCAAAGACACTGTGCGAATGCACTGTTCAGCTACAGTTCAGTACTGTTTGACCTGCTGTGATTGCCAGATGGCTCTGACCCATCATAAATAAATGTCTACATAATCAACTTTGCCCAAAGCAACCCTAATTTTTCATGGAACTGAGGCTAAGCGCTGGATTTTTTTTTTTGTAAAAAAAAAATTAAAGGATAATCTTTTCACAATCAGGAGTTAAGAAAAAATAATGGCTCAACGGGGAGTAATGAGGCGTTTTAAAGTAAAAGGTTAAAAGAAAAACGTTTGAGCAACTGGATGTTTCATACCCCTAAAACACATAAGAGAAGGACAATCATTCTGACCATGCTTTATTTTCACTTTTCTCCAGTCAAATTTCAAATTGGCGCACAAAAACTTTTTTTGTTTGTTTAGATTGAACTGAAAAAAAAGTTTTTAGTAGACCAGTAGTAAAGTTCAGCTTTTACCTGGAAGAGGGTTGCAACAACGAGGTCTGCTCGAAAGTGTCCGCGACCAGTGTTTTCTGCTTGTTCCCTTATGCCTGAATACCATTGGAGCGAGAAACAGAAACAAATGACAGCGACAAACCTCAAACCAGTCTTTCACGATTTTAGAGGGTTTGTAGAGTTATAGCCCTCTCTATACTGACAAAGCTTGGCAGACCGCAAAGAGAAGCGGCCGCCGAAATTGAGAAGGTAGATCGGCAGACAATGAATGAGAGTAGAGCCACGTGACGGGCGCAAAAAAAGTGAAAGCCGTTCACAACTCCCTGTAACGTCGAATTGGAGCGCAGCTCTTGAGGAGGAGGAGAAAAGGGTACTGAGGGGAGGGTAGACCCCTCCTCCTCCTCCTCCTCCTCCCCATTCTTTAATATGCTCCGGGGGGGGTCACCTGACCTCGGGGGAGGGGGTCACGTGACCTCGGGGGGGCGAGAGTGTCACGTGACTTCGGGGGGGGGGGAGGACCCCCCAAGGCCACGTTACCTTGGGGATCACGTGGAGGTCACCTTGGGGGGCCACGTGACCTCGAGGTGACCTTGGGAGGGGTCACGTGACCTGGGAAGGTCACGTGTCCTGGGGGGTCACGTGACCTGGGGGTCACGTGACTTTGGGGTGACCTTGGGAGGGGTCACGTTACCTCGGGGCGTCACGTGACCTTGGGGGATCACGACCTGGGGGTCACGTGACCTTGGGGTGACCTTGGGAGGGTCACGTGACCTTGGGGTGACCTTGGTTACGCCGACGGCGACGGCGACGGCGACGCCGCTCAAGCCAGAAACGGGCGCCTAAGAGCTGCGCTCTAAAACTTAGAATGGGTATTTTGTCGTTTCCATCTGGATGAGCATCGCACCGGCGTGCGGTCCTGTATCAGTACTGGGTGAGCCCGTGAAGACCCCATGCATACAGTCCTACTCCAGTGGTTAAATTTCTCATCTACCCTGCGTAACAATTGTCGCTGTGCGTGCTGGGTGATTGACTTAACATATGTGCACTGTACTTTCGTAGTTTCCAAGCCCCTGCATAACCATGTAATTGTCATAAAGCTGGGTTTGCGTTAAAAAGTCAATATCATTAAACGAAATTAAGCATATATTTGTTTTGCTGTCCTCGCTTCCGCATCGTGGCTTCTGATGACCTATTTTTTTTCTTTCAATGCAGAGGACGCTATGTTGAACTTGACATTTCTTGCTAACGACGGGGAGGTGTGGATATTTTTTTAAGAACCGGTTTGAACTGGTTCGCGCTTGGTGAAACAGGTGACTGAACCGTTCTTTTTTTCAAAATCTTTACTGAACCTGCAGAACCGAGCCGGAACAAAGTGCAAAACTACTGAACCAGAACCCGAACCGAACCAGAATATTGACCGGTCGGACTCCCTGCTTTTAAGTTGCAACCCAGCCGATCTTCTAGTGTCTGCGTGCAACACGAATGAAGAATTTAAATGAACATATTACGAAATCGAAAGAATCGTACATCAAACGTAAAAATTTTACGTTTTAAGGCAGGTTCCATAATATGGTGCTACTGTCGCTTGTGGTGACACCGTGTACCGGTTGCATCCTGTCAGCGGTTTTCTGCTCTTGCCGCAGTCATTTGGGGCAGGTGTACGCGGCGTCGGATCTAATAGCGCACTAGCAGGGCTGTTGTACAAGATCTCGAAGCAGAAAACAAGGTAGCGTCTTGCGCCACGCACGAACTAGACATTTTAAGCCCCTATAAAACAGACAACACGCTAAACATGTATCTGTAAAAAATATACGGTCTGTTTGCGAAGCAAATTGGTGGTTTTAATTTTTGGTGTTTGTTGCGACTCGCGAGCTTTCTTACGCTTGATCGCGCGATCGATGTCTGCAGTGACACCTAGTGACACTGGGTGTCACAACACGTTTTGTGCGGTCACCCTTTGGCTTATTAGAATGAGGGCTTTGAGGAAGTTTTTGCATACTTTTTGAGTCGTCTCCGAGTTTTATGACGGCAGCTTTATGCAGTTTTTTTTTCTAGTAACACAATGCAGCTGTCAATGGGCCTTTTTCACATTTAGGAATTAGGGGAAGGGAATTGTTTAGTTCAACCATTCCAGGGGAGGGAATGGGCTCAGTGTCTTCACTCCGAGGAGTTGAAAGGAATGAAATGGTCGGAAACGTTAATTGCCCGCAATGGCATTGGAATGAAATGGGGGTGCCCATTCCGCAACAGGTGTCCCTGCAAACAGGGCAGCAGACTTCCTCTCTCGTCTGCGTTGAAATATGGCGGTTCCGAATCGAGTGAATCGAGCTCAGTAAGGCTTAACGAGGACACCAGTACACTACGGATAATGTTGATCTTTACGCGGAACGCTGCCGCAATTAAACCGAAAAGTGCTAGCTCAGTTTTCGAACAGGCAAATACCGCGCACCACTGATGGCCCCCAGACTTGTACGTAGTACTCTTCTCAAGTTAGTGCAGTTTAACTACTTTTCGGAATAGTTTAGTAACTTCCCATTGCATTTTTAGTAGCGTAATTAGTAGTCTGCTTCAATTACTTTATCCTAGTAATTTCTACTCAAATTAGAAATTACTTTTCAATTTTAATGGTAGATTGGCTTTTCAACAAACATTCCTGCAGAAAAAGGTATAGGATTTCAGAAGATCATCTGATAGTTGGAAAGAGGGGGAAACAGGTGGCGTAGGCAGGGGAGGGGGGTTAGGATGGTTTGGAGGGTCTGCAGAAACCCCCTAAACTTTTAACGAGCCCTTACTGCAATAATATATTCCTGCTACGAGGCGCGGGGAGCGTACAGATACGTCGCAACTGAGGCCGAATAACTGCGGGAGTAGCGCTGAAGACTGGCGTTTCCTTGTGTTCCGAAGCTGAAGAAGACTTGACGTATTTGAAGAAATGGCGTGTCCCCGATTCTCGCCAGCGTAGAAACTCTCGCCCACTACAGGAGCACACTGCATCCTCACTCGAAGGAGGCAACAAAATGCAGCACTCACTTCGAAGCCCATGTGCTGCTCTCATAGTTTCTGCTGTACTTCAAGAATCGCCTGCTAAAGGACAACGTAAAGATGACCTCTTTGCGTTGCATTTCCTCCCAAAACGCAGAATATTAAGGTCCTCCAAAATTCGAAGGTCGTTCGAGAAACCTCAGTAATTCCTCAACCATTTTTACAGAAACAAACAACAAAAAAGCACTGTTGGAAAGTACTTTTGAGTGCATAGTACTTAAAGTACTATAAGTAGGTTTAGAAAACTTTTTAAGCACATTATTTGAGCACATACTTATACCTCACTAAAGTATTTTTTTCTGGTACTTTCCGGGCCCGTTAAACTCCCGACTTCAAAGCACAATCCCCAAATTTGAAAACAAAAACATGTGTATCGTCTCGTGAAAAAGCGCAATCGTCTTTTAAGACGTTAGGGAGCTTTCGTAGAGCGCGTTTCCCCCTCCGCCAAGCCCTCAGCGACGCAGAAATCGCTACTGCGCTTGCGCGCCAATGGCCTTGACTGTAGAGTCTCGCTCTTAGAAGATTGCGGAGGGCCATTGCGGGACTGCCAAAACGATCCACAAAAACTCCCTGTTTTCTGGTCATTTTTTTTAGTGAATAATTGCGGCTATAAGACCAACAGAAATACGTGCCTTAAAAGTTGATTGTGTTAAATAGTTCACCAGCGAGAGTAAAACAACTAATCTGCGGCGACTTGACTTTATTAATTATTAGCCACCATTTCCGAAAAAAAAAAAAAAAAAAAAACTGATGCACTTCCGATTCCTCTGGGAGCAATGCATACCAGTTAAAAAAATTAAAAAAAAGACTCTATAGGGGATGAAAGGGCATCATGAAAGGTTGTGTTAAAAAGTACTTGTACTTTACTTTGAAAGTGAATTGTATTTATAGAACTTCACTTCAAGAACATTACACCAGGTGTAATTACTACTTTACTTTAATCTACTTAACCCCTCATTTACTTTGTACTTCAAGTACTTTTTAGATGTACTTACCCAACTGAGTAAACAAGCAAACACTGTCTGCAAAATCAAGCTCAGGCAGTGCTAAACCTCAAAGTAGAAATGATATATCCGCAGTACAGCATTGACCAAAAACAAAGCACAAAATA